GAAACGGCCGAAAATTCATGCGCGCGGGGATGTCATCCATATAATCAAATCAACATGGCCTAACGTGACCTCAGACTAGAGCATTGTGGGTGGTGTAGATTGAAAAGACTATATCGTTGGATGTTTGTGATTGAAATGAATTGTGAAATGCAAAAGCTAATTTTTGAAAACCAAACTTGCTCCAAGATCGTTGAAGAGATTCATTTGTCACGTATAGATACAGTTACTAGTGAATTCTTTCATCAGTGACAACTTTGGAAGGATAAGGATACTAACCCCCAAATTTTCGATGGCTATCAGTCCATCTTGTTCACTTACCCTTACTCCGGAGGGAGGCAGCAGGGGGTGGGGCCCGGCAGACCGATGCAAGTCTCGGGCCTAGTCTCGCGCTCTCGCGAGATTAGGCCACTCCGTGAACAAGATGGACTGATAGCCATCGAAAATTTGGAGGTTAGTATCCTTATCCTTTCAAAGTTGTCACTGATGAAAGAATTCACTAGGAATTGCTCCAAGATGTGTGAACAACAATCATCAATAGATGTATCCAGCTTTGATTACAACCACTTGCATATGGCGTGGCCTTGTAACAAACCAAAAATTCTCCATTTATATTGGTCCCTAATTCAAAGGGTTGAGATCTTTTGTATACGAGAAAATCTATCCATCTAAAATCAAGAATGGGACAAAGGATGAGCGCAACATACGTTTTATTCATCATTTTGGTCCGCATGAAGAATCCCTGACATTCTTTAATACATTGCGCATCAGACAGTGTGGCTTTGATATGTAGAAATATTAACGTCTGTAGCAGCACCCTTATTCAAATTGTGAAGATAGCAGAAAGGTAGATATTGAGTACATCTTTAAAATGAGTCCATGATAATAATATAACAGTTGGATTTTGTTCAACAACTGTCAGTAACAATTGCGGTCTTTGATTCCATCCGTTGTCTTTTTTTTTCTTTTGGTGTTATCATGGTACAAGTATATCTAAAATCGCGAAAAAAACTTTTACGTTAAGGTAGGACAGAAATATAAAATGTGTACTTAAATGGCTCATGACATGATGTGTATTCTAGGCGTAAATGCTATCTGTTACAACACTTTCTCTCTTTTGTAAATTAGCCAGTCGCGAGAGAAGGTTTCCATTCTCTCGCGGCTGGTTGTAGGATGGCTGACAATTAAAAGAACGCGTTAAAAACTCTACAAAACGCAATATCGAAACTTCTACCCGCCCGGAGCCTGCACAGGAGGCTATAATTTTCCAATCGCTTCCCGAAGCCTGATAGAGGCTAGGCGACGGCTGCAGTTTGGTTGACTTCCGCTAGACGTCCTGTATCTCCAGTATGACCCGGAAGCAGATCGGTCGCTGCAAGCTTGGAGCCCCACGACATGCGTGTCCAACTCGACGATCTGTAGGTATCTTCAAATGCTGTTTTTGAGTCTCCCTATTAAGTCCAGGGGTTTCTCTGACTTGTGTAAATAACGAGTATTCATTTAGTAGCCATATCTGTGTGTTTAAACTGAATTATGAGGTCCAGAGTAAACGTGAGTGTGTGCTACTATCATGTCACAAGCTCAGGTTGGTCCTTACAAAATTTATGTTCTTCTCATGTGTTCCTGAAGAAGATATTCAGAATTTCCTCTCACCTGGAGTCATAGCTAGGCAGTAGCTCACCGAGTTTTAGTTGAAATTCGTTATGGGCAAATGCAAATCTTGCAAATCCATGCAACTATCATTCACCAGTTACTGGGTTGGTGGAAAAAGTGGTCCGGTCCTGACATACCCTCCTTGGTCCGGACTAAAAGGCAAGAAGTACTTTGTAGTTCTGGATCTACTACAAAAAACGACCATGTCACATACGCCTTTTTTGTTCCAAACCAGTTAAAACCTTCCATAGATTGGAAAATCTGGGCCGCAAAATGAAGAAAACATGGCCTTTGGGCATCGTAAAGTGTTGGCCTCCATGTAGTAATTGTTGCCACAGTTTCACCCAGATAAGATTGCAAGATTGCCAACATACAATTTTGTATATGCCACTGGTTTGGGTCCAGACTTAAGCCCGGAACTGAACCTAAACCTCTAGACAGAATCTGGTCCTGAACCTAAATGTGGGTTTAGGTACACAGCAGTCATGCACTGATAGTACATGTTTTTATCCAGCATACATGTACATGTGGTTCTAGCTAGGATTTAATTTTAGCATAGTGGCACTGGCCGCATGATGAGGGAGTGAAGCGGGCTTTTTAAAAATTTGAGCTTAAAAAGAGGCCATTTGAGGGATAACCAAAGGGAAAAAAATGTTACTTCTAAGTAAGGTCTGTACAATGTAGATATCTTGATTTTTCACATTTGATCTGGCATTCTTGAACATTTAGAAATACAGTCACAATGCCCCTATGCTGTATTAAAAATTAGCATAGGGGGAAAATTTAGCGTAGGGGGAAAATTATACCGTAGGGGGCCCCTACACTACTTTGCACTAACTAGAACCCTACAGTACATTGTGTACTTATTCCTTCCTCCTGTTTCAGGTACAACTGTACATGTAAGTAAGGCTGAGGACTGACGTTCTTGTGATGGAGTTCAGACATGACCCCCAGGGGGCGCCAATGTCACCCCCCACCCTGGCACACCTGGTAGACACCACCATAATGGACGTCTCGGCAGATTTCCACGGAAACTCTCTCAGGAGCAGGATTCAGGAGGAGTTTGGCTTGTCAGCTGAGACAGGGGACAGACACAAGGACACAGACAGGTACTCTGAGTCTCATAAACTCTATTATAGCATCATGATGGGCCTTTCCTGACTGTCCAGCATACAGAATACAACACGGCGTATTCCGTATCGCCTGAGGTACCAGCCCGACCACATGTCGGATTGCCCGAAAGGGGACTTGCGGGAGGGCTGGGACCGAAGGGTGATGCGGAATACACCGTGTTGTAATATTATGAAAAACTTAAACTGTTCTCCAACTCAAAATTTGACTCACCAGAAATTTTCGACTGAATTACTCAGTCTTCCTCAGCTATCTGACCCAAATGCTGTGGACACGTGATTTTTCCCACGTGTGACGTCAGCAAAGGGTCAAAGGTTGTCTGAAGTCGATATCGCCCCCCTTCCCGGTTGAGCGGGGGGTTGTCTGCCACATGGGTTGCCGGGGAGGCACCGGCGGGGGTCCCTGTCGGGGGGCTTGTGTCGGGGAGGCTGGGCGCTCACTGGGGGCCAGGTTTCTGGAACGTGGGCGACCCAGTTCTGTTGCATCTGGGGTGTCACAGCGCATCCACGTAGAATCACCGGGACACACAGTGGACCTGGAGGGGGTCAGAATCTTGGATACCGAACAGGATTACTTCAAGAGAGGCGTAAAAGAGGCCATATACATCAGGGCACTTCAACCATCGCTCAACCGGGACGGGGGGCGATATCGACTTCAGACAACCTTTGACCCTTTGGTGACGTCACACGTGGGAAAAATCACGTGTCCACAGCATTTGGGTCAGATAGCTGAGGAAGACTGAGTGATTCAGTCGAAAATTTCTGGTGAGTCAAATTTTGAGTTGGAGAACAGTTTAAGTTTTTCATAATGTAATTTACCAACTCAGATGAACTTTCATGCTGATGTAAGAAACACCGTGTTGTATTTTATCTGTGTATGTCATACCCACCCAAGAAAACACGTCTTTCAATGCTAAATGAGCAAAAATTTGGTGTCCCAGAATAAAAAAAATGCAACAATGTTGTATCAATTCCAACGTCAGAATTTTGTATTCGAATTTTTTAAAGCGGTGCACGCAGTTATATGTAGGGCGAAACACGTTCGAATTGTTCTATGGAACATTTGGAAGCCCGGGCAGTACACGTTCAGAACCCCCGCCATACCGCTAGTTATCACACGGGCCGGAACACCTGTATTGAACGTAATCGCGGCTCACGTATGACATAAAATATTATACAGCCATAATAAATCAAATCTCTGTGCACACTGTTACTTGTACTTGTTATTGGAACAAGTCAGTAACTTCCTGTTCTTGTACCTAGTTGTACTTGTAGATAGTTCAAACTGTACAATAAATATATACATACAATTGTACAAAAATGTAGAGACCTTGTTTTTTTTTTTCGCCCCCTCGCATTAGATTTGGAGTCTGTGGAGGATGTCATCCATAAGATTTACTTGCTGTAGCCTAACAATACCTTTCTGAATGTTGCCACCACAGGGCAGTGTCATCCTTCCAGCAGAGGATAGAGTCCTTCATAGTGAGGAAAGCTGATGTCCTGTTCCAGACCAGATCTGCCTCACATGTACACAGACACCAGGCTCAGGCAGGGAAGGATGAAGAAGGTTCTACTTATCTATTACCTTTACTTAGGCAAATTTCTTGGTTAACACTCTTCATTTTTTTCTGATTTGCAAAAAAATAAATAAATAAATAAAACTTTTGCCCTGAATAGTTGAAAAGAGTCCTTTTCTTCCTAGTTGTTACAGTTATTCCATCTTTCAATGCAGTGGTATCATTAAAAGTTCAAAATTCATTGTTTAAATTTTAAACAGCCTGGTGTGATGACTTCATGGCTCCTATCATACCATTTTGGGCCATGATAGGATGCCCGGCCTAAGCCTGTTTTTATTTATTTATTTTTTTTTGCTCACCCGCTCCATTATTTTTCTAGAAAAATCTTTTAACCAAGAAATTAAATTGGTGTTTCCTTAGGTTATAATTGTGATATCACTTTGGTAGGATTTCTTTGGATTTGTGCTACATGGTTTAGCATGATAACTGAAGAAGTTAATTATTAGTTGTGAAATGTGCTATGATTGTGTTAATCTATCATATAAAAGATTGGCAGCTTTCCTTGGTACTGCAGCAGAACTTCTGGTTAAATAATGTGTTCTGGACATGCAGTAGCATGCAAGTCAGATGAGCAACACACTGTCGGGACTCAAACTCCCAACCTCTTGGTCCAGAAGCAGGGTCACTAACCACTGTAACAGTGTAAGGCATGTAGAACTAAGACCTGTATGTGAACTTTGCCATGTTTCTATCCTCTGTGTCCAGACTATTACGCTGTCCTGCCACCTCTGGAACAGTTTATGGGAGTTCCGATTCTCCCTGCTAAAGACAGATTCTACAAGGTAAGTTCACAGCTCTTGAAAACTTAGCTGAAACAGAGTAAATATTCAAATTGTAATACCTAATTGTAAGACATCTACTTAGTAGATGTCTTACAATGCTGTCAGGTCAACTTGTAATTTAACCATTTTATGAAAAAGAACTTTTTCTGATACATAATTGTGTCAAGTTAGGGCACACCGACTTAATTTCATAGATGACATCCGCACGCGCATTTATTTTCGCCTGTACTAAAAAAAAATCACCTCTGGCCCGGGTTCCATCCTCTGTAGTCCATGGTAGCCAGAGACAATAGGGAGCCTGTGGTAACTACGGAGGATGGCACCCAGGCTGCCGAAGCTCCATGAAACTCAAGAAATCAGTACAGTGCCGACTCATAAATGCCGCAAATTATGTTCACGTTAGCAAAAGTTTATGGTCTGAGGAAAACATGGACATGTTCACAGAACTATATATTCACTGTGGCAACAGGTGCAGGAAAAAGAATGTCCAGGAATTATTTGTTAACTGTAATGATAAGTTCACGGTACAGAAGTGACAGTGAAAAGATTTTAGGCCATCGCACACTGGGACATGCTCCTACTCTTTTTGTGTGTGGGGTGTGGCTCTCCCCAAACATGGGACCTTCTTTTAACATCCCATCCTGAGTAAAGTGAAGAAAATCATGTGCATTTCCCAAGGGCACAACATCATGTTATTAGGAGATTAGAATTCAGGATCTATATTATGCTTTGAGCCAAACATTACATTTGTATTTAATCACACCACACAAGTACACCAATTTGATTCAATGGTTGAACTTAGAACCCCCAAGGCACCATTGATAGGTATTTGTTGTTTTTTTTTTTGTTTTTTTTTCACATAAACGTAAACCGCCTTTAGGCGTAACACACCAGTTTTGTACATGTGCGTACATGTACAAGCTGTGTAAGACCAGACTGTACGGTTTGAACCACTCACACCGGGAAGATCCCCTAGTGACTCTTTTCGATAAGTGTGTTGTGTTCTTTAACGTGCGTGGGGTGTGTCTATCCCGTCTAGCGTCCTATCCAAGGGCCGTCCCTAACCGAAGCTAGATACTCATTTCCACCTGAGTGAAGTGAGGAAAGTCGTGTAAAGTACCTTTCCCAAGGACACAAGATCGGTGACATAGGTACATGTATATGAAAGAAAAAGAAACAACACTTCTTCCCCCTATTTCAGATGGTAGAGCCTGGAGACACAGTGGTTGGGAAGATCGTCAGTATGAAAGATTTCGGTTTCTTCGTGAAGCTGTTGTGCCTGACTGGTGGAGCGGCCAGAGACGTCCAGGACATGGACATCACTGTAGGTCAACTCTGGTCATTTGGGGTTCGGGTTTGGGTTATGGCGATTTGACTTGAGTTTAGGACATTTATCAAAGGCTTTATACAAATGTCTGACAAGACGACAAGGGCCCAAGATACAAATGTAGGTTACTATTTTAAGTATGTTAATCACAATATATGCATTACTAGTAAGTTCTAGTGTGTCATACATGTACTGCCAATTTGTTTCAATCTATTTTCTTCTTTTTCACTTCTTTTCTCACTTTCTGTGGCCCTTTTTGGTTATCTGCTAATAAGGCACAGGACTTGCACAATGCAATGGATGGTTTATCAGTCTGTGATATTTTCTGGTTCTGCCTGCTTTATTCTTTGAGTGCAGTATACAGCTATTGCTCAAAATATTTAGTAACGTGGTATTGATATGCTATATGTATCCAGATGTTTATAATTATTTGTTTTACAAAATGTAGCTGTATTTGTTTGTAATTGTAACTACATTTGTTTGTTACTGTACTGGGTTTGTTTTTATTTGTTATTTGCCCTTTGAGGGCAGTAGTTGTTGCTCAAAATATTTAGTAAGCATATGGTATCAGGTATGTATCTAGTTATTTGTTTTACAAAATGTAGCTGTAGTTTGTTATTGTAACTACATTTGTGTGGTACTGTACTGAGTTTGTTTGTTTGTTTACTGAGTTTGTTTGTTTGTTTGTTGCCCCATGCAGGCTCTGTGCCTGTCCTCAGACCTGCCGTCCCATGGTGCCCACCAGAGACCTATAGACTATTACCACACTAACGACCTCATCCAAGGTCAGTCTGATGTACTTCAAATAAATAAATAAACAAATATTTAGATAAATATACAGGTAGTAAACATTACAATGGACATTACTGAATCTTTATTGCATATTCATGTCCATGGGGACTAAATGCATACTAGTTACATAGTATTACATTGTACGAGTATGATGTTACATGAACATGTGGTGAGTAACATAGAACGATGTATTACATTGTAGTATAAAGGATAACGGAAAGGTTTCAGGAGCTACTAGAAAGTAGTAAGGGTACATGTACATGTAGTATCTGTGGTGAGAAGTAGAAATTATCAGTAAACCCAGTATTGCTCTTAAAGGTGACAGACCATGAGTGACCTGGTCATTGAAATGTGGGTTAGGTAATACATTTTTAGCCCCGAGGTTGACTGATGCCAGATTTAGGCCATGCCTTACAAATCAAATGAAATTTTAGTTAGATTTGAGTCAAATGTGATCCCAAACATGCCCCAAACACTGCTATCCTACATGTACTCCTGAACTCCAGCCACCTATGGCTCTGAATGCTTGAAACATACAATGTCATGTATGTTTGGCGCAAACAGAACAACTTCAGCCAGCCAGCCACATGCACATGTACAGCTGACTGTGTTCCCGACCTACATGTACATTTTTTTGTACTCCTAACCATGGTTGGGGGGTTGGTGAGTGGCATTGTTGGAGATGCCATATTTCACAGGGGATTTTGGTCATGTACCAAGAGCTTTGTTATTAATAAGCAGTAATGATTTATCAACCTGAATGTTGTGTACAGATACTTACCCCGTGTTGTTATTGTTGTGTACTTGCAGCTGTAGTGAAGACAGTGAGTGTGTTAGATGACAGGATTGTGATCTCCCTCATACATAACCACTCACCTCAGCCACTGCCACAGGGCTATTTGGTAAGTTATATCAACCCAACATATGTTTTGCTATTTTCTGTCTATACTGAAGAAGTCTATAGGACTATTATTAACAAGGAATTGAACTATTTGTAATCCAGTAACAGAGTAGTGCCCCTCCATGCAGACCCATGTGTGGGGATGATGGAAATGATCCCACCCTTAGGCCACACCAACTAAATTTGTTGCTTTTCGGATTTTTTCAGAAAAAAATATGAAGTGACAGGGAAAAAAACAAAAACAGGCCAAGGCACCCCATGTTAGCCAGAATTTTTACGTTATGAGCCATGAAGTCAACATGTTAACATACCAGGCTGGTTTATGATTAAAACAATTACAGATTTTGAACTTTAAATGAAACAAAGTTGCATTGTTACATTCTATTTGAAAACTTTAACAATGAGGAAGAAAAGGACTTTCTTCAACCGTTGGGGCCCAAATATGTCTTTCATTGAGCATTTTGCAGTTGATTTAGATTAGAACCTAAGTTTTTTATTTTTTTTGCAAATCAGAACAAATGGCAAATCCAAGATCCAACAAATCAAATTGGTGTGGCCTTAGTATGGATTTCAATGGGATAATTGCTGAAGAGTTAGGTCATTTTTTCACTCAAAGCAAGAGGAAAATTTAGATGTAGAGGTCGAAAATTGTTGAACAACTAGTATCCACCCACATATTACAAAGTTCAACATTATTTTCAAGATCACCCCTGGACTTTGTAACAGTCGCCACATTTTTTGGAGGGCATCATTTGGTATCTTAGATATGGGTTTCAACGGGAAATGACTGCCAGAGATCAAAGTCACTTTTTTGACAAACCAAATGGAAAACAATAGTATAATTTTTATCATATCTACAATTACTCTTTTGATATAATAAGTAATAGACATATACTTTTGACAATACGCACAGTTGAATTTTTGGCTAGTTTTATTGATAATAGTCATTTCATATGATATGTAGATGCTAGACAAAGTCTATTTAAATGTACAATGTATTTGAGGACAATTTACTAAGTGATTTATGTAATGTTAAGTATACTTTATAGTCGTATATTTTTAACATTATTGGTGAACATTTGCCACAATTATACAATAGGCTGAGGTACCCATAATTTATCATTTCATCGGACATTAAGTAAAGTATTTGTAGAATATCATGTTTTGAAAGTGCAACTATTAGACATGTTCCATGTTAACATTGTCCATATTTGTTTGCTCCACTGTTGTAAGGGAATTATAACCAGTGATGATCTCCCAGTTCACTTTAGGTAAGTAACTTCATTTTGTGTTCAGCATTATCTATGTAGCATTGCTTGCTTAAAAACAAATAAAAAAACTCACCCTAAACCAGTGCCACCCAAAACATATCTCGTATGTTTGAACCTTTGATCCAACCCAAAAGTACATTGTACACCTTTCTCTTGTCAGCTAGTTTGCTATATAATATTTACAGTTCGTTCAGTCCTTCTCGTACGGAAATATATAAAATCTGCTACCACATTTTAAAAGTATACAGTTCATTCAGCAATTTAGTCATTGCTGGGATAGCACTGGTTAGGTAACGCTTAGTCCCAGTAGGTTGTTGGTAGCGTGTAGAGTTGCGGAGTTGCCTGCCATGTTGCTGTCCGCGGGTCTGGGGCAGCCACGTGGAGAAGCGAGGCGACCTTTAAACTTTCATGGCAAAGTCTGTACACAGTTTTTGTCTGCAAGTTGATAGGCGCTGAAGTCTGAGATGCTGGAGAGCTGTAGAGTGGCGCTTTTAGGGGCAGCCACAGTATTTTACCGCTCCTCTTCCAACTTGTATTTTTAGTCTGTTCGATAGTTAGTGAGAAGTCATTGATGTATGTCTGACAGGTGTGTTGTTTGTGTTGTCAGGAGGAGTCAGGACCTACAGACCAGCCAGACCAGCTATGATGATCTGTTACAGCGAGTCTGGGGCTTCAGTAACCCCAGTAATGTGTCCTACCTGGGCGGAGTGCTGGACATAGCGGACAAACACCCGCCTTCACTCATGAGGGGACTACACAGGTACATGGAACTCACTGTCACCAAGTACAGTAGGGGCATTGTCATTAGATAGCTTTAAACAATGTCTAGAGTTAGAAGTTCAAGGGCTAGGTGTAACAAGTCGATCGGTGTAATACAGGCAGCTGCTGCCGCGCCGAGTGCCTGCGAAGCTAGTGTGTTAAGCCGAAAGGCGGTTATACCGGCTGTACAGATACAGAAGCTGGTGTCGTTACGCTGAAGGGCGGTTATACCGGCTGTACAGATACAGAAGCTAGACTGTGTTACGCCGAAAGGCGGTTATACCGGCTATACAGATACATTTTTGTAGGACAGGAGGAGTTAACTACAGTCTTTTGTATATTAAATTGCTTAACTGGCCCTTTGTGTTTAAGTGCTTCAGAATACTTAATACATGTAGTAGGCGTTTTATTTTTCAGTAAACGTATATTTTTGCATAGTTTGTTAGAATGTTAGTCCAAATTTTATAGATGTGATATTCTATATGAGCTACATGTATATTAAGTATTACTACTGTCACAGTGTCACTTTTTGATGGAGGTGCATAAGTGTAACTATGTATACACTACATATTATTCAATTGTGGTTTAGTTTACTTGGAACCAGGCTATCATTTTTTAGATTTGTCAATGATAGATTCTAATAATTATGATTATAGCATTGCACTTTTTCATTTGCAGAAAAAGCTGCAGTATGACCATAATAACCTACATGTAAACATTTTTTCATCTTACTTTAATGTGTACATTGTGTCCACATTGAATTAATAATCTTTCCTGTCAGGGCAATGTATGAACAGAAATATAATTACAGTAATGTGACCATTCTTGGTATATAATCGTAACAATACACAATACATTTTTTTTTTAATTAAAAGGCCTTAGTTTGGTGTTCTGTAATGTTTGATGCTGACTTTTCCCACCCTCCAGATGCCCGTTCCCCCAGACAGACTTTGCTGAGTCATTAAGACAGCAGCAGTCCTCCAAGTGGGCGCTGGCTTGGTCAGTACCTTCATTATTACCTTCGCCAAGAAGGTTATGTTTTCAGAGGTGTTCGTGAGTACGTCTCTGTGTGTGTGTCCGGAAACACGATAACTTAAGAAGGTTTTAATGGATTGACTTGATATTGGGTAGGTGGGTACATCTTCGACTTGGCGAGACGTAGAAGTTATTAGATTTTGGACCATCTTTTGTGTTTGTTGTTTAGGCCACAGCAAGTAATTTTTATGGATGACATCAGCGCGCGCATTAATTTTTGCCTGATTTTGAAAAAAGAAAAAAGAAATTTTGTTGCCCTCTGACAGCGGTCAACATGCCGAAAATGGGCAAAAATGTCTGTTGCCATGCCGGGAGGCAGATAACTGAAGAGAGGAGACAAGAAAAGCCTATGATTTAATGTTTTGTTTCTTACTTTGATGCAGTGATATGTAATGCTGGCTGTGTAATATATTTGATGTTCGCATGGAATAAAAACCATTTGTACAATGATTGAGTCAACATTTTAAAATGTAAGAACCTTGTTTTTTTTCCGCCCGCCTTGTTTTTTTCGCCCGCTCGCATTAGATTTGGAGTCGGCGGAGGATGTCATCCATAAAATGTACTTGTTGTGGCCTTATGAGATGTCTGGAATTGTCAGCAGTCCTTGTGAACATTATGCAAAATGTATTTCCTGGAGGTTTTGACTGAGATTTCTTGTTCCCAGTGTTGGGACAGGAGTCCAACATTTCAAGTCAGGGAGACATGTGGAGGCCATGCAGTGTCTGGAGAAGGCACTCACATTTGACCCTGCCAATGTAGAAGCACTGGTTGTGCGTGGTGCACTGTGAGTACATGTGTTTTTGATTTGTGTTCATTTTCTTTTAATTCATAGAATTAAATATGATCTTGGATTTTCAGTTATTTCATTATTTTTCAGTTACTTAACTTCCAGGAGATCTAGAAGTAACTTTATATTATTTATTATATTGTATGTACCATGTTCATGTAAATGTACAGTTTTGTGCATGAAAAGTTGTTTTGCTTATCCTCTCATGAAACCACTAAATGACTTTATTTTATTAAAGATATACATGTATTTCCATTCACCCTATATGGATTGATTTAGCAAACTGTGACCGTTACAAAATAAAAACCTTTTAGTTTTTGGCCCTTTTGGCTATATGTAATACGCTGGTCAGCAAAAAAAGATGTCACTTCAAAGTTTGTGTCATGTACAAGTTAGTATTATAATCTATCATGTGAATGTACCTTCTTTTTCCATCATCATTCTGAGTTTTGTTGATGTAGATACTATGTTATGTCAAGTGTCAAATGTGCTGCAAATGCTCCAGATGTCTGGGTGCATGTCGCTCTGTGAACATTTTAAATCTTCACCCCCTGAAATGCTATTTCCTGCATTTTGAAGGGCTGATTTTATTAATTTACTGGTAAGTTAACAAGCTTAATTTATTGACAATCATCTCTTTTTATATTCTTGGTCATGCCAAATTTTGCCCATCAAAGATGACTGCTTGATCAAAAATGTTGTCTGTTATGAGCAGCAAAATTCTGTCAAATAGCAGACAGACGGGCACTTTGTAGAACACTGCTTCCTTATTTATAATATCATGATCACTGTGAATATAACAGATGAGGGGAATTATTTTTTCTGTCAGGTATGCCAATAAGAACAGCTTACTGCGAGCCATGGAGGATTTTGCTCAGGCCTTGAAGTTAAATCCAGGCCACAACAACGCCAGGAAGTACATGTGTGAGACTCTACTGGCCAGGGGGAAGCAGTAAGTCTTCTTCACTCTGATAAGAACAATAATTTATTATAGAAGTGACGTCTCAATCAATAATTATGTTTACCAAAGGAAAACATATTGTTCTTGGTCTGTTTCTTCCTCTTCCTCTTCTCCAAACATTGACCCATGACCTGACCAATGACATGATTTGTTGATGTCTGTCACCATGGTGACTGGTGTTGGGTTACATGATATTGCAATTTCGTGGTCTGCTCTGGTCCTGTCACCATCAGGGGTCGAAATAGATTTTGGGGCCAACTTGCACTGGTGCAGGTGAAAGAAAAAATACTTGCACCAGAAGAAAAATAGTTGCACCCCCCAAAGATAATACGTACACAACCAAAAGTACAATGTACTAACTTTAATAGCATTCAATATTTGCTTACACTACTAACCTCATGTCTGACACTCAGTAAAGTGGCACCTGTGGCCTTGTTCCACACTTACACCTCATCATCTGTATCAGACTCACTAGGATTACATTCCTGCTGCACAGCTCGTCTAGCCCTAGCCCCATATGGTTGTGTGGACGGCCTCCGTCTTCTCCCTGCCCACCACAACCCTACTGCTGGCAACGGGTCAAATGTGCTGACTGTGTTGTTGTCCAGAGAAATTGCCATGAGGCTTGTCAATGTGTGTGGGTCTAGACGGGTCCTCCAGTCTGACTTGACCACGTTCATCAGGGAGAATGACCGCTCACACTCTGCAGTGTGGATTGGGATTACAAGGACCAATCGCAGAATGACGAAGATATGTTTAAAATCTTCCTCCTGTTCCCTAGTTAGAACTGACATCCAGAAGGTGCTGAAAGCTGGTAGTTTACTCATAGTAGCCAGTTGAGCACGGCACAAGGATTTCAGTTCTACCCATTCTCTGATGCAACTGTCAATGTCAAAGTCCTTCTGCTGGAGCAATGCATGGAAGTGTTGATGCAAAACTCTGATGTTGTCGTCTCCAAAGTCATCGTCTTCCTCTTCTGTAGGCCATGTGGAGAACTGGAACAACACTCGGGCAGAGGAGAACACAGGGTTGCTAAGGATGACTTCGAATCTGGATCCCAAATGATGCAATGTGCGGTCACATATGCCTTGACATAGTAGCACTACTTCTTTCTTGTATGTAGCTAGATCTGCTGCATGCCCACGACCACGCTGTGGTCTACCTGTGTGTAACACTGTGTCCTTCCACACAACAGACCCACCTCTTTCTTCTATCCCATTAGACAGGATCCTGTTCAGCTTCTCTGGCTTTGCCAAACTTGTCAATTGTTTGACCACGCTGTCAACCCTTCTGAACACCACTTCTACTGTGCTGTCATTGTCCTGGAAGACCTTTGATACTGCACTGATCATGTCCAGGTATGGCATCAGGAAATTGAGAAACATTACAAATTTCACTGTCTTCAATACTTGGAGGATTCCTCTTGCTTTGTCTCGACTGTCCCTGGTTCCGGTGTCCCCAATCTCCTCTAGATGCCCCAGGTGCTGCATGAGGGCAGGATAGTCCCTAGATACAGCTTTCACAGCACGTTCTAAATGGGGAAGCCAACGTGTGCCTGTTGCTCTCACTGGTTTAGCACAGAAATGTTCAGAGCTTCAGCAGCATTCTGTAGTCCTTGCCAATTCAATGCTGAATAGTGGTAGAACCTGTACAGGTTGGACAACAGATCATGTACAGTAGAGAAATACTGAACCTCCCCTAGCACATCCTTAAATACAAGCTCAAGCCTGTGAGCACAGCATGACATAACCAGAAGGTGGGGACACTCTGTCTTTAGTCTCACCCCTACACCACTTACATGCCCCATGTTGACAGGAGCGCCATCAAAACAGGCAAATACAACCTTCTGTTCCCATGCCGCCACTTGTAAGTCATTCTGTAAGGCAGATTTCACTGCAGCAGTGACGTGTTCGGCATCTGGCCTTTCTAGTGGTTTCAGTGCAATAAAAGATGTTGTTGGCTGTTTATTGTCCCTAAGATACCTTATGTGGACTACTTCCTCTTCAACATTACCTCTATCTACACTACCATCAGCTAGTACAGACACAAAGTCTGACTTTTGCACATCTAACGTCAGCTGACTGCGAAATGACTGTGCAATGTAGTCTACAAAAACACGGGCCTCCTTATCATTCATGTAAGTGTTTCCTGCAGTTAAACCATTTACTTCCTGAAGTCTCATAAGATGTGGAAAGTCTGTAAATGGTCTGCCCTGTTTAGCCAAGTAATACGCACTCCTGAACAAATGACACATCTGGTCGACATGTCTCTCTTCCATTCTCTGGACAGCACGAGGAAGAGGTCTGTCGTGGACTGGTACTCTCGATGCGACCCTCTTGTTCTCTGCCCTCTTGTGGCTAGGAGTTTCCTCGTGAATCTCAATGTTTATTAGTCTCATACTTTTTGTGCCCCTTACAAACGAGTTTTTTTTCCCGCTTTTATCATAGTGTCTGCATGCTTCACACCACATAAAACTGTGGATCCATCATGTTTCAACCATGGTCGCTTCCTTTTCCACGACTCCTGGAAAGTGTATGTTTTTGGTGTCTTCTTTCCTTTGTCCTAGGAAAAAAAGAAAATTCCATAGACTTATCAACATGACTAAAATATATCCCTATTAGTTGACCTTGATATAAAATTTAAAAAACTATACTGTAGAACTATAACAGGTTCAAGTTATAAGAAAAATGAGTTTCAAAGTTGCTATTAAATTGTGAAGGCTTTCTAAGATAATGAACAAATCAACTTATAATTGATTTGTTATGAAACAAACCCTATTTTAACGTTAATAAAAAAAATGAAAAAAATCATTATGCAATTGTTGCAAACAGTCTCAGCCTAATCTCCAACCAGATAATTCTAGTCTGTGGCTACAATACAGTATCAAATTGGTAAAACAGTATTAAACAGGCAATTTTCAAAACTGTAAAAAAAAGTACAAAAAAGAAAGCAGGGCAAAAACGCGTAAAACACGTCAAAAAAAGGCGAAGCCTATGTATACCTCTGCTTGGAGAGCAGTATCAGCCCTGACACTGTGACAGTATCGATTTACACAAGTAACCTCCCGCCCATGGCTCCTCCGACCCATGGCTCCTCCCACCCACTGTAACTTGAAATTCGCGCCAAGCGTCGGCGCCTCCAAGTCTGGTTCACATGGCACGGGCGGCAACAATCAAAGAGCCGCGGCAAACTTTAAAACATGCCTGGCCTTTCCCACAGCGATTTTTCGTGAAGTCTTCTACAACTTATACATGTCATGTAATTTTACCAAGCACATGGAAAGCTGAGTTTCATGGCTCATTAAAAACTTTACTGGCAGCAAGTCTAAACAAGTTTTTACCAAGCAATATATAAAGCAAAAACTCACTACCTACCATTACTGGCGTTAGTTTTGGCTTTTTGGCAATGGTCTGCTCATCGCTATCGTCCCCAGACGAATCGTCGGACTCAGAGAATTCCACATTACCAGAGACTTCTTCCTCGGAGAAATCTTCACTATTTTGTTCGTCCGTAGTTCGCGATTCGGGTGCTGAACTTCCCGACGGCCCGGGCTGTGGTGGCCCGCTTTCCTCGCCAGTAGCAGTCCGCCACTCTGGTGCTGAAGTTCTCGACGGCCCGGGCTGTGGCTCGCCTTGCTCGTCCGCAGTCCGCGACTCGGGTGCTGAACTTCCCGATGGGCTGGGCTGTGGCCCGCTTTCCTCGTGGGCTGTGACATCCTTCTTGCCCTTCCTCGAGAAGAACCCCAAGATCGATCGCTGCGCCATTGTTTCCCTGCGATGTTTATCAAATACTTTGCTCGGCCGTGGTGGCTTCTGGGAGAGATTGGAATTTCCACGAACTCCCGAAGGTCACCGAAAATTGCCGGCCGTCACGGAGCTAGCCGGCTTCCTCCATATTTGGTAAACGGATGATGTCATTTGTCACATGATTCATCCGCAGCTTATTTAAATACCAGGGAAAGTTGCGACACGTGACACGGAAGTGATAGGAAACGTTGTCCGCTGGCAGCGACGTAGATACTAACCTTCTATTAATTACAAAAAATGAAGAAAAACTTCATGGATTCTGGTTTTGTTCCCTTTCCAGTTCTTTATTGGGTATTCTACATGGATAAAGCAAACTTGCACCGCGGTGCAGGTCGGCAAAAAAATAGTTGCACGACACCAAATTTACTTGCACCAAGTTGCAAACAGAGGGGTATTTCGACCCCTGACCATATACTAGTAGTACATGTATGTGAATGTGTTTGAGTAAGAATTAACAGAGCAGACCATGCCCGAAGGTAAACAAATGTTACTTCAGAATCTCTAATAACTGTTTACTCTTGAAATAACCAATAATTGTGCTTGTGCAATGTCAATATTTATTACTTTGATAATGCACATTCAGACTAATGTGTTTTCACAGATGGTTTTGATAATGCTTTATACTTAATAACTTTGTAAGAAGGATACTTTATGTCAGTATTCTCCAGTAAATGTTAAGCTCATTTCACTCAATTTGATTTGTATAGAAAGGTAGGCAGGCCTAAATCTGGTTAGACTGTTCCAGAACTTCAGCTAACCTTGTTTAGCTGGAGTTTGGGGGAAGGTTCTGAATGTTTGATCGGGGGTTAGGGTGCTCATGACACCAAAATATGACTTTTTTTACTCATTGTACTTGACATAACTAGTATTACCTGGCTAACAGACACATTTACAATAAATATGCACTGTTCTCGTGTTACATTTGAATTTTGAAATTCTAATGCCCTGCCTTGGAAAAGTCAGTACAAGCCAGAACTGGCAGGTGACTTGCATCTCTACATTTTATTTTTGGATGTCTATATTTTTTCCTGAGCTGATGACATCCAGTGATGTCAGCTCAGGAACAAGCACAGAAATGCAAAAATAAAACAGAGATGCAAATAGAGATGCCCGAAGTGGGCGATTGGGAAGCTTGCAAGAGAGTCTCCACCAATTCACTTTTAGAAGGCCGTACAAGCTCAATTTCGCAGTCATGATGATTGGAACAAACTTAATGTGACTATGTTGTACACTAGTGTCTTCCAATATCTGTATGTATTTTATGGACTTTTTGTGGTGTCATTAATTTTTGGTCTTTAAGGCTGACTGTCTTGTTTTCAGGTTGCAGGAGGAGGGAGAGGATGAGGATGCCATGATGTCATACCAGAGGGCTTTAGTCATCAACCCTGACTTACAGGAGGCCAAGGATGCTCTGGAGAAAGTCAGGACCAAACTAGAGGTGAGAAAAAACCCTGTCTGCTCTCCTAGCTTCTCTGGATGGAACAGAGAGCACAGCTTTGTTGGTATTATATGAGGTAACACCAATGTTTTTTTTATTTATTTTCTTTTTATTTAATTTATTAGAATTGAACCATGGTCAGTATTGACCGACGGAGGCCACATTTTTGTAGAATTGCAACAGTGCAATACACGCGGAACAGAGGCAGCTGTTGCTGGTGTTGTGTCCCGCACATAGAAACATATACTGGACAGACAATACTCATTTTCACTTGAATCTAGTGGGGAAAGTCGTGTAAAGTGCCTTTCCCAAGGGCACAAGTCAGGACTCGAACCCCGGACCTCTTGATTCCGTGTCGCGAACACTACCGTTGCGCCACACGACCCCACCAATTGAATGTAATTTTTGTTAGTTGAGGTTTAAAACAAATGACTCTTAAGGCTAGGCTAATCTGTCTAAAATTGAATGCATGACAAAAACACACTATGGATTTGGTTCCTTATAATTAGGTTCAAAATCTTCTTGTCAGAACCACTAACTAATCTAAATGTGCCTCTTTTTTCATGACCCCTGGAAACGACTGCTTGTGTTGACATTTCCTGGGAAAAATGGCATCACATCCACCGGTAACCTGGGCTGGACAACCTCAACATACTGACCTGGACAACTCCAACTCACCTGTATAACTGATGATGGGTAACCTTGACTGTTTGATGACCTCACGGTGGACAACTGTAACGTCAATGTGTTGATATGGACATCCAAACTGTTGTTACTGACAACTTCAACACTGGCTACTGTGGGTTACTGTCATGATGTCATCTCCGGTGGTAATGTACATCAAATTAAAACATCACACACCATATCATCTACGATATTATATCAAACATCTAACAAAATACTTGACATGGCTGATATGTCTGGAACTTTGATGATATTTTAAAATTGCCCGTAATGATTGCTGAATTTCTCAATCTGTGTACACAACCATTGTCATGTTTGTTTGTCTTTGATCATATTTCTGCTCAATACCGTGACTGGCTCAAACTGCATTATGTATTGTTTTCTTCATTATTGTCTGGATTTTTACATACTGGTACATTGATTTGATTTTGTCATTGACTGAGTGTTTCTGTTTTTTTTATATTCCAACTTAATATTGAACTTGATGAATGACTAAAACATTTTGCACATGTTCCTCCTCACGTGGGTATGCTTTGATTGCCTTATTTGTTGTTGCTATAAAATGCTGTTGCTGTGCAATGCTGTTGCTATGCAATGTTGTTGTTGTTGCGGTATGATGTTGCTGTGCAATGTTGTTGTTGTTGCGGTATGATGTTGCTGTGCAATGTTGTTGTTGTTGCGGTATGATGTTGCTGTGCAATGTTGTTGCTGTACAATGATGCTGTACAATTCTGTTGCTGTACCATGTTGCTGCTGTGCAATATTGTTGCTGTACAATGTTGTTACTGTGCAATATTGTTGCTTTACGATGTTGTTACTATGCAATATTGTTGCTGTACGATGTTGTTGCCGTATGATGTTGTTGCTGTACGATGTTGTTGCTGTACGATGTTGTTGCTGTACGATGTTGTTGCTGTACGATGTTGCTGTACGATGTTGTTGCTGTACGATGTTGTTGCTGTACGATGTTGTTGCTGTACGATGTTGTTGCTGTACAATGTGTTGTTGTACGATGTTGTTGCTGTACGATGTTGTTGCTGTACGATGTTCTACTCTCCGCTGCCCTGGCTGTGGTAGAACATGAAGACTGCGAGTCAGGTGGACATGACCAGTGGAGGAGAAGAATTGCCCGCTGAGTTGTCCTTTGCACAACGTTCGAAGGAAAAGCTTCAGAAGCTACTGGATGTGGAGGGGAGCAGCAAGGACAAGAGCGGGTAAGTGTGAACAGTACTAATGGTTTTGAAGTGGCCAGGGTCACAGCACTTCTGCAGACAAATGTGATTAAGTTGGCAAACTTTAAGTCGAAGTCACAGTTAAAGTTGACTACTAATAGTGATGAACTCCATGATTTTGGAAGTCATCAGTCCATATACAGTACATGTACAATGTATGGAGGATAATACAGGGTCTCCAGAAAGAAATGTTAGAAAAATGAAAGTTAGGAATATGTTTTCTCTGTCTCCTCTTGTATTGACAGTTGTGTCTTCTTCCCACTGCAGGAAAAAAAGAAAAGAAAGAGAAAACGGTCCAGCTCCAGTTCAGATGAAGACAAAGGGAACAGAAGCAAACAGAAGAAAAGGCAACAATCCTCACCAAGAGGGAAGTCAGACACCAGTTCAGACCCAGATGGCCGCAGAAGGAATAGTTCTAGTAGCACACACAGGTATGGCAGTACAGAGACAGGACATGGGCGACAGTGCTGAGGGGAGGGACAGGACATGGACGTAGTGCTGAGGGAGGGACAGGGACAGGACATGGACGTAGTGCTGAGGGAGGGACAGGACATGGACGTAGTGCTGAGGGAGGGACAGGACATGGACGTAGTGCTGAGGGAGGGACAACAGGACATGGACGTAGTGCTGAGGGAGGGACAGGGACAGGACATGGACGTAGTGCTGAGGGAGGGACAGGGACAGGACATCGACATAGCACGTGGGAAGGGCAGAGAAGACACTCAGCAGAAGACATGTATCACAGGTATTTGGGAGAGCTAAAGACAGGGCAGGAAAGACAGGGCATGTCTGTAGGAGTGAGTGACATGGGAGGACAGAGTAGTTTAGACCAACAGGACAGATACACCGGACAGAACAGATATGTACATGTGAAAGAACTGACAAGACAGTCAGCAAGAGACAGTGATGTGGACAATCTGACTGAGCTGAGAAAGGGACCGACCAGAAATTTGGGACCAGAAAGTGGAAGCAGTAGGAGAGATCAGGGCTATGTAGAAGGACACAGCAGACATACAAACAGACATACAGAAATTCAGATTAGACAGAAGGAAAAACAAAATAGACAAACAAGCTATGATGTTGAATCACAGGACAGACATACAGAAGGACACTACAAACTTGTAGAAGGAAAAGAAAGACACGCCAAAGCACATAATACGTATTTTGAGGGACAACACAGACATACGGAAGGACAGAGCAGCCACACAGAAGGAGAGAGAAGTTACTCTGAAGCACAAAGTGCTCATGTGAAAAGGCAGGATAGATACTATATGGACAGAAGTGAGAGATCTAGAGACAGACATACAGAAGTACAGGGCAGAGATGTACAGGGCAGAGATGTACAGGGCAGAGAATTTGTCAAAGGACAGAGTGAACATGCGGGACACAGTCAGTATGTCAGCCGGCAGGATAGACACAGGACAGAACACTACAGGTATAAGGAGGGTGACAGGCCAGGCGATTATCAACAACAAACTCACAAGGATCCTGACAGTAAGTCAGCAAGGAACAGGGACAGGAGAGTGAGTGAACATGGAGGTCATCGGTCTGCCTCCCCTGTAACACATAAACACAGGGCAGGAAAACACCACAATAGGTAGCATAAATGTGTCCACCCCTGAGGCATTGCCAAAAATTAGACTTGAGTCAGAGAGGGCAGAAAAAAGGCTAGTAAGATGTTACATGGCTGGACTTATGTTAGGTCGCCTTTCTGCTGGAGACTTTTTTACCAGCCAAAATTGGATTTTTTTTACTTATGAATGATTATAGAAGAATGTTGTTTTTAATTTAATTACACATAGTCTAACAGCATATTATAAGACAATGTCAAAATGCAGTCTTTAACATGTCTATAGTGCCATAAGAAAAATAGTGCCAAGGAAGAGAACTTGACAATCTTGCCTTCATTGGACTAGACTTTCCCGTGATTCTACCAACCATGTCATTATAGTGCAACATAATTTCAAAGACAGCAAATCCATATTGTATAATTCTTTTTACTGTGGGATTCCTTAAATTTGAAATTTATAAATGATTTCTTTATATCTGTAATAGCATTGAACTTAAATCCTGTATGTACATTTGCTATTAATATTGTTTTATGTCCAGGAACACTATTATTAATAATAATAATAATAGTACTTCTTACATTGTACATGACTGTATGTTAGCTAGTGAATGAGATATTCAAGTGTCCAAACATAGCTTCTTGCCATATTCTGTAGAATTAATTCTATCACAATTATTATATACTGCATAACATGTGGTCTCCATCAACAACATAGCTGAAGGCAACCTGGTAGGTTGAGTTAAGATTTTTACAAACAATTTACAAAATCTTTAAAGGTGATCTGAGATGCACCTGGTGCAAGTATTATAATAATGTTTATCTTTAATGAAGAAAACTTAAAGATGTTCTTATTTCTCTGTTTCTTCTTGAGTACTGAGTGGGCCTAGTAGTGTTGAATATTAAGACTTGATGATTGAATAAATGTTAAGAAATCATATCAGGCTAACTACTGAGTGATTAGTGTGTCATGTTTTTTCCTTACTGCAGGCTAAAGTTACGAACTCAGGAGTTTCTTGGTTCCATTTACAAATGTAAAACTACTGTCAAAAGAGTTTTTCACTGACCTCATCTGTTCCTGACAAAAAATGCTACCAGCAATCAAACAATCAAGACTATACCATGTCCAGGATAAAATATACAAAAACCAGTACCAAGGTCAGCCACCGGAAGGCCTAAGTTTGACCTTGACCTTTGCCTTCCTAAGACCTACCAACATACCATAGGCATTTCGTCGGTCTTACAAGACCATGAAAGTACTTCATCTACCAACATACCAAATATCATCACAATTCATATAATTTTCCATACGCATAGACTACAATAATGCCATATTAAATCCTTTGATATATTCAACAAGAAATTCGAAAAAAAATATTTTGAAACTTTTTATCGTTTCAGAAGCAAAACCTATTTTGTCATGAATTTGGATTTTGAGATTCTCAGTGTGAACAATGCAGCATGAAACGAGGGGGGTGAAGTCTGCCATCTTTGTCTAACAAAACAATGTGTTTTTATGCCTTTGAACCCGGCTAGTTTGGGCAGATATGAGAAAACAGCGTGTTTAGTTGACTGTCCACCATGTTTAGGTCTGGATGAATGTTGTCTTTTCCCGGCTGACACACGCTCATGTCCCACGTGTCCAACACAACCACGTCTGGATCCGCCCGGAACATCTCTCGTATCACCTCCGTGATCTGGTAAGCCAGCCAGTCGCTTCCTAGCAGGTAGAACGCCAACTTTCCCCTGTCGTGATTTCGAGTTGTAGCAGTTCTCACGAAAACCCGCGTGCCAGGAGCCCTGCGCTTCAGACGGTGTATGGCAGCCCGTATGGCGTACAGTCTGGACCGGAACATTTCTAGCGGCTCTGCCGTAAAGTGAGCCCACAGACTCAGGACTATTACCGTGTTTGGGCCTCCCTGAATGGAGTCTACCATGTCGGGGATGTATCTGTAGTTAAAAAAGACATTCCAACTTTTCCCTTGTGAAGGGTAGTGGTGGAACTGGAAAAGTACAGTGATGTTCCACTGGCTGTTGGATCCTTCTCTAATATTCGGTGCTCTTGTAGGTCCGACTTTAACTGTAACAAAAATGTAGCAATTCCAAGTATTACATTTGACAGTGTAACATATCATGCTTACATATAATCATGTAGACTGTCGATCTGTCTAAAATGCAACAAAGCCATTGTCTGCTTTATGGCTTTTTTCGTTTCAATTCGGCGACCTCATACAATGTATACCTCCATGAAATATATGAGTTATTCTAAATGTTTTACACACTACACTACAGTACAGAACAAAATAACACAGTTTTTTTTTTGTTTCAAGCACCTTTGGCCTGGATATGGTCATGTAGGCTTTTCCCCAGAGGGAGAAACCCATTAATCAACCTGGGCAGGCGCTGCCTCCACCCTGCACATCTGTTTTCCCTGTCACCCCACACATCTGTTTTCCCTGCCACCCCGCACATCTGTTTTCCCTGCCACCCCGCACATCTGTTTTCCCTGCCACCCCGCACATCTGTTTTCCCTGCCACCCTGCACATCTGTTTTCCCTGCCACCCCGCACATCTGTTTTCCCAGAAGTTCTGCTGCAGTTACCAAGGGCAGCCACCAGAAGGCCCATATTTGACCTTGACCTTTGGCTTCCTAAAACCTACCAGCATACCAAATATCATCATAATCCATGAAGGCGAGGTAATAATATCCTAAAGAAATCCCAGTTCAAGATAGAAATAAGATCATTTATGATAAGTTCTGTTCATGAGAGATAATCCTACGCGGACATTGAGGTACCTACATGAGCAGACTTTTAGCGGCAACGTTTGTTTCTGTAACTGTGTACAAATAGGTATCATATATCAAAGAATGTTTATTCCTTAGAACAAGTAGTATTAGTTGGCTCGTCTATTGTTTTATACGTTGTACCCATGTCCCGTTGACCAATGTCCCAAATTGGTGAATACCCATGTATTTGTATATCTACATGCAGTTTTAGACCTTACGAAAGTCGCTGTACTTTTGTTGTGTCAATAAAGTTCTTTTCAAATTCTCGGTGAAGAACGACAAGTGCGCGCTTGATTTGTGTTCATGGCATTTACGTGAAATGATAATAAAAAAACTTAGGCTGCAAAAAGTCTAAATTAGGTGTGGAAATGACAGTCATTATTGACTGATTGTTGGCTATGAGGTACCAGGCTAGGCATGTAAGGGGGCCTGCAGGGGGGGGGGGGGTGTTCCTAACAGCGCTCTACGCTGAATTCGGAAACTTCTCGATTACGCTTTACGATAAATTCCAAGTGGCTACAACACATTATGTAGAATTAAAATGGCGAATATGCTCTACGCAAAATGTGCCGATTACGCTCTACGTTGAATTAGAGGGGCCCATCTACGCTCTAACGCTCTATGTAGAATTAAAACGGCCGATTACACTCTACGGAAAAGGGCTTGCAGGCCCCCATGTAAGAACATTAACTGACCCGTGGTGGTACTTGTGCTGGTGAACAGCGGCACAACCGCATGCAGACGGTCCTTCCACTGACGCAGCGACGAGTCACCTGGAGTAACATTACAGGAAAGAACTGTAGGATACATGATCGTCTGACATCTATGGCATAAATTGGTGAAATGTATCCAACTTTATTTGCGGACAATGAACACAGTGAACTACGAAATAACATCACGTCCAATGGACTGTATCTAATATATCCAGAAGCGCAATCGATGAATGAAAGACTTTTATTGTACATTTCGCTCATTTCGAATTAAGTACAGGTCACGGCAAATAGCGATGGTAGACTAAAATATATCTATAGTAAAACTACATTTACACAGGTTCTGCTTCTTCTCGCTTCTTAAGACAGTTGTAAATGTAAGAACAGATGGAGCTTATAGTACGAGGATTATCGTGTTTAATGAGATGAGGAAAGTGAATTTTTCTTTTATCTAGAATTCTAAAACTAGGGAAATAATCTTGTATACAATTGAAAAGAATCTTTCATTATTATAATCAATGATTATCAGACCACTAACGCTACGTACCTTGCATGTACACGGTCTTGTTAGCCAGGCACAGCCGGATGTCTTCCTTACTGAACACTCGGACATCGCAGACGG